AAAGGAAAAACCCTTGCATTTTAGCTTTTCACATTTACATGAAACTATTTTGAGCAAAAAAGTAATGATCAACCAAACACTAGAAAAACGCTTTTTTAACTCTTTTAGAGGGCCGTGGGCTTAGGGCAGAAGGCACTTCCAGATGTGGCCATAATGTGATTGGTGCCCCTCCTATGGAAGACACTAAGCTAGTACAGGGTGTCCCATATACAAGCGGCCTCATCATATTCATAGGAGATCGGATTTCCTATACCTATCTTTGGTCATACTTCATACACTTTAGGTTTTCAGTAAACAATCGCACGTAAGCTTGGGAAATTTCCTACTGACAGATGGAATAGGCCTACATACGCGCGATTAAATTAAACCTTGTTTGGTTCCCACTAAATAAAAGAGTGCAAGCTTCTAATTGAAAGGGCCTAGATATGGTTTGTTTCAGAGCTCACTTCACACCAACCTTAAGTAAGTTTTAGCCATGCATTAAGAACATTTCCATATGAATAAAAATTTAAAGGCACGGAGATATTTCAGATGTACGGCCAAATATATGTTGTGAGGTCGGTGTGAAGCGTATTTTGTGAGAAGTAGATCCGAACTCAGTTCCACGATATCAAATTCAACTTGTAAATAAGTGACGGGATCTCATGTAAGCAAAAACTCTGTAAAAGTACACAGAGAATATTTCCTCATAAATTTAATATACATATACGGGAGATATTATCAGTTTACCGTTAGATGTGTGAGTAGAGTTTTTACTTGGAGGAGATCCATACTCTCTAAAGAAATCCATATTAAATCAAGGGAAATTGTCTAAAGCTCACCAAAGTTTTCAGCAGTTCTCTTAAACTCACCACAACTTTTCAAAATATAAAACTCACCATGTCACTAACTTGATGTTAAACAAACTAACGGGTATTAATATATTACCATATTAACCTTCATAGAAAAATATAAAATATATAGAAAATAAATTAACGGGTGTTAATATATTACCATTTTAATATTTAGACATGAAAAAAGGAAAAAAGTTCAAAAAAAATATTTTTCAAATATAAAATACATAAAAGCACAGAAATTACAAACAAAATAAAAAAAATTCAAATTATAGAAACTATAGAAATTGAAAAAGAAAATTAGAAAATAAGAATTGTAGAAAAAACACAAAAAATTATAGAAAACACACAGAAATTACAAATAAATAACAAAAAAAATACAGGAAAATTTATAGATCGTAGAAAATAGAAAAAATGTAAAAAAACCAGAAATTATAAAAAAAACTTTGGAAATTATAACAAAACAATAAAAATGAAAAAAAAAATGAAAAATTAAAACTGAAAAAGACCATTTTTCCTCTAACTCACCATTAAAGGTAATTTAGTCATGAAATTTGTTATTTATGTTGACATGGACATCTCTATTAAGAAGCATTAACAGTGCACTTACAGAAGGTGAGTTTTGGAAAATAAAAACTTATTAACATGATAAGTTTTAGACATTTTGAAAAGTTAGGATGAATTTGAGATAAATGTTAAAAACTCATGATGAATTTTAGATAATTTCCCTTTAAATCAAAGCACTGAGTGGTTCCACTCAAGTCCCCAACTCTAGTGTCTAACTTCACGCAAGATGGAGTGGGGCTTATGTAGGGCACCAAAAGATAGTACAGGGTGTTCCCTATACAAGTGGCCTGATCATAGGGGATTTGGATTTCTTATACTTTATGTTTCTGGTACATCATACATTCACCAACTAGCAAGTACTAAATACCATGTGATAGGCTTTTTGGACTTATGCAAAACTCAATTGCTCTCACGTCTCTGTGTTTTTACACATTAACACAGGTTATTGAATCAGGACTCACACTGCCAGTGTCTCAACTGGCACTGGCACGGAATGTATATAAGTATTACCGCACTTGTCATCAACTTCCATTCAGTCTGTGACAGTGTCTCATTATAAATGTATAAATAGAATTGGGATCTGCTGGAACGAGTGGTTGTTGTGCATTGGGAATATTTCCCTTTGTCCTTTATGACAAGATGTTCTCCATCAGTGGTGATTAGTTATTGGGATGTCCTATGTGTTGGGAAGAGTTTACATCGACGCCCCACCATGCCCTACAGTACATTCAAATGAGTCTGGATCTCTTGTCCACATTTATTACAGTCACATATGATGAATATCTCATCTTCTGCATGATATTATACAGGGGAAATACTCCCAATTCACGGGGGTAGTGTGTCATGAATAGACGTGAGTAGGAAATCTGAACTTCATTCAAACGTGTTTTCAAAACACCTTTTAATGACAAATAGGAAAGATATTCTCAGTGCACGCTCACATGTGCATGTGGGGTACCAGTGGGGGCGTTGATGTGATATCGTGTTGGGAGGGGCACCAATCAAATATCACTTATCTTACAATTGGCTCAGTTTGGAAAGAGTCTAATACAAATATGTACAATATAAAACCTTATATATTATATTTTTAAACCTTGTACAACTGCAAATGCAAAACAACCTTTGACTCGGTTAAAGAGCTTACGGAAAACCATTTATGGTTTAGCAGCATTAGCCTACTTTTTTTTTTAATTGCAAATTTCCAAGCCTAGGCAAGCCTGTATCAGGTTTGGAATTCTCCAAGATGGGCCTAGGCCCAATACTTTCCCCCAACATACACACATATTTTTCATATTCTCTTAAATTTACCTTTACTTTTATGCACTTCCATTGATATTTATTTAATGATAAAAATTAACCCTGATCAATCAACCAACTTATTAACTAACTTTTTTTTACGGTAAATATACCCTAGGTTCATTGTTCCCTTATGTTCTCTCATTTCACAACCTATCAATATTTTTACTTTACCTTCTCATTTGTTCCTCAAACGAAATAGGTTTAAGTTTTTGGCTCTCACCTCTATATCAAGTGAATGATTACAGGCTTACAGGTATTACTAATAGAAAGTTCCTGTCAGTAGGTTAATATGTTTTTAATAAGATATTGTATAATTTTTTATATTTTTGTGTTTATAAAAATTATTTTTATTTATCATATTTATTGTTGTTTAATATAATAAATATATGATATTAGAGATGTACTTTTGTGTGTTTTCATCTTTTTAAAATTATAATTATTATTTAATTATGACAAAGGTTGATACATTTGACCCAAAAGGCTAAATTGTTGACTCACCACTCAACAAGAAAACAACTCCATTTTTATGTTTGTTTTAAATTTGTATTTTATTTCTATCATCAATAAAAATAATAATTCTTTGTCATACTTAAGATCCATTTAGTTCATAATCAGAATTGGAATGGTCTATTCCTATGGTTTGTTTGATTCGTACAAGAATCGAAATGGGAATCGGAACCAACTGGAATGGGATTTCATTCCCAAGGAAAGGGGAGGGGATGGTCATTCCACTAGGAATGGGAATTGGATTCTAATTCTGCCCAACCAAATAGTTGGAATTGGAATGACCCATTTTGATTCTGATTCCAGACCCCACCTAGTGCGCCCCAAAAATGCCCCACAACACATCTCAGCATGCATTGGAAACATCTCCCATAATTGTCATTGGGAGATGTTCCCAATACACGAATGGAATTGGTTGTGAGGCGTTTTTGGGTGCATTATGTGGGGTGCAGATGTGAATTCCGCTTATGGGTTCAAACTCCCATGTTTCTTAGTTCTCGCCAAGGTTTTAAAAACCGATTTAGAAATAGAACTGTTTTTGGCCACTAGTTTCCGGATAAGCAGTTCAATCGTCCAAGTCAAATGGTCCAAACATTTAAATTTTATAGCTCATCCTACCCTTTGGGTTGGTATATTAGGGTAGGATGGAATATAAATGTTATGAGAAAGGGGCATGAGAACAAGAGTGAAAGGAGGGTTTGTGATGTCTATTGGCTCAAAGAAGGATGAAGACGAGGAGGAGGAGGAGGGAGGAAGTAGAGGTATGGGTGACTTGTAGCAACAAGAGAGACCTACAATGGCAACGTTGACTTGCAGCGATGGTGCATCTCTAAGATCTCTCTCTCTCAGATTTGAGACTGGTCATGCTTCTCTCTATTTTTCTCTACTTTTTGTTGTTTTATTTTTTTGAAAATTTTAAATAAGACATATTGGACCGCAAATCGCTAACTGGGTCGAACGGTTCAACGGTCAGACTGTCCATGTCAAACAATTTGTTGACCAATGCAATGGTTATTAATAAAATAACGGTTCAGCACTAAAACGGAATCGATACCTTTACCAATTTCCAATCCGAACACCCCGACTATTCGAGTCAACAATGGTTCGAAAACACTGGTTCTCACACAAAGTGTGTATTGTATATTCATCAGTGAACATCAGAGCAATGCAGGAGTTCAGATTGGCGCCCCATACACATATCTCAGCGTGCATGAGGAGCATGCATCTCTTGTACTTGTCATGGAGAGATGTTTCCAATACACGATTGGGTAGTATCGTCAATGGGTTGGGTCTGGGTTGGAACCAGTTGGAACCAAAATTGACCCAACATGATATGTTGAGGACTCAAACCTGATAGGGTCTGTAATTTTTGGACCCAGAACCAAACCGATTGATTCACGGGACAATTAGGTATGACCCAACAGATCCAATTATAATAAATAAAAAATAAATATTTATGCTTAATATACATTAAATATTCTATATATTATATGCACAGTATATATATTTAATTTATTTATTATTTAATATATTGTACATTATCTATCTATCTATATCAGGTTGGGTCTGAATCGGTTCGGGACTAAGTGGAACTGGTTTCGACCCGATAGTAATTGGGACCCTATATGAGGACCCGGAAGTGACCCGTCGGTTCCAGTTACTAGAACCAGAACCAGAACCGGCACAATCGGGTCGGACCCGACCAATTGACAGTCCTACGGTTGGGATGTGCCATACGGCGCCATGTTAATTCGCAAAGCAGAGGGGGAAATAGAGCTATAATGGCGATTTGAAATTTTGAACATTTAAAGAGAAATCAAACAGCTACCTTGAATCGGCCAGCAAACCATGACAGAAGATATACAGAAGAGGTTTCATTCAATTATGGGCAAACTATTCCATGCTCCGAAGCCAAAGAAATCCCGCCAGGATCTTTTATTCTCTGGATCTCTCCTTTCTTTCGTCGAATTCGTCTCCGTCAGGATGGTATAGGCTGTTTCAATCACTTTTAGTAGCTAAACCAAACACGGTTTTGATTAATCTTGCTTTGTTTCACTACTGGTCGCTCACATGGAATTGAACCTTCAAGGGGTAAAAAGCGCGGGAATCCGACATTGACTACGTCGATGGCCGAACTGAACTCGGGAGAAGACACAGTGGGAGGACTCGAGCGTTCCGCCATCCATGTTGGGTCGGCGCAAGCTCCGCTTTGCAGACTGTGGCATCGAGGCGATCTTATGAAGAGGTTAGCTGCATTCAAGGCGATGACGTGGTTCGGCAAACCCAAGGTTTGATTTTTTATCAGTCTCTCTCGTATCTACTTTTATCCTAACAAGCGCAAAATATCAAGATGTTTATGATTATTAATAGTCTTTTATTTGTTGATCAACTGGTGTTGAATTAGGAGTTTAGGACTACGTTATGATGTTTTCTCAATGTCTTGCTTTTCCTATCCTACATTCATGCGAACACAAGAAATGGTGTGGAATTTTTATTCTTGGAGTCTCTCCAATTCAATTATGACACTCTACATTGGATTGGAGTTATACTGTTGAGTTGGATTGCCCAGTGCATTCGCAAGGTTATCTTGGGGGTGAAGGACATTTTCGTTTCAAGTGCAGTGTGGCTTGGGTTAAAGTGGAAGACAACTGATTTCAATTGCATATTCATTTCTCGGTTAATGATAGAATTGGAGCTTGAACTTTGGCTCTGATGGGCGTATGAACTAATTTTGGTTTAGGACGATATAGAATTCTTGTGAGTTGATGTTAGTTATACTTGGGCCTTGTATGATGGTGGTGACTGGTGGAGAACATCATCAATGAATATGAAGGAGACCTTGGCCAGGAATATGTGGGTCATTTGTTTGCCTGAGGAAGCGTCACCTTAGGCATGGTAGTTAGGGCAGGTGAAGGCCAATGATACTGCATTATGATGGGGGAATTGGTGCGTTTTTGAGGAGATTATTATCTTTTTTGAGGTTTAAGGCTAAACCTGGCGAGTTTGACTCAACAAGTGGCAGGAACAATGGACGTCTGTACCACACTGGATCACATACTGCGGCATAACAAATTCAGATACGTGATTGGTGAATAGAAAAATATTGAAGGCAATATTTTAATTGTGCAGATTACTTTAATACAGAACTTCTTATTGCTTAGCATACCATTGCATTTTTAGTTAGCAAACCATAGACAACTGAAGCAAGATCAAGAAGGGTTGAAATCCTATATTGATCCATGTTATGCTATTTTAAGTATATGTTGTTCACCACAGCAGTGATTGGTGTGGAGGTATCAAGCCGGAACTACAGAAACACCCACGGCGACACACATGCTGACGCGGGTCCACGACGGAGTCCATAACGCGCGACGGACCTGCGATGAACCCATAACCCATCAAATACCCATGATGAGCTCGAAGCCATCGCGGACCTGCGATGGACGAAAACATTATCAACCAAAGTCGCTCGTAGAAGGACATCTAGCAAGACACGTCAGACCAGTCCTGACGTCGCCCGTGCCACGTCAATACAGGAGACCCGCAAAAGGAAGTAGCACACATGTACTTTGAGAGTTCTCAGACGAAAGGAAACTTCGTCCTGGAAAGATCTCATGAGACACATGGCAAACCCCCCATCAGTGTCCCCCCGACAACCGACACCAAATTGAAGATCCCCTTTCCAAATAGGAGTCAAACCCTTTTTGGCTCCTTCCCTTCAGGGCCTTGGGATATCCCCTTATAAAAGGGGGTGTGGATCATAACTAACACACAATTCTGTCAATAGAAGATCGTAGTCTACCTTTGTTACCCAAGACTCTTAGCCTTTCTTCGCCCTTCAAGGAGATTGCTGCACTTAGCCTTATCACACCACTTACAGCTATAGTTAACAGCAATTAAAATAAAGAACAATAGATGCCATTAGTTGTGTACTTAGAGTACTTGGAAAGACTTCAGTTTTAAGCTGGGTGGGTCAGTTGATGTTTTGAGGGTATCTGGGTATAGTTCGTCTCAATGATCGGTCTAGTTACAGAAGATTCTAGCTGAACAAATATAGTCTCACAATATTCCTCTTAGGTTATGTATGGTTTGAAGGAAAAAATAGGGAAAGGTAGGGAAACCTATATAAACCTTGTATAGGTTTCCCTACCTTTCCCTACTTTTTTCTTCAAACCAAACACAACATTAGTGTTTCTTCAACATTCTCATGAAATTTTTCAGAAGGGTCAATAAGAGTTATCTATTTGACTAAGCTATCAGTGTTGCATTTCAACTAGAGGGTCTGGACCAACAGTATTTTTTATGGTGTCACTTTCTAGTAATCCTGTTTGGAGGGAGAAAAGTGATAAAGAAAGAGTTGACTGCCTACTCAACTTCTTCTATTTTTTTCTCTTTTCCATAGTTAAGTTCTTTAGGTGCACTGTTTTTATCTGATGGAACAGTTAATGATAATATTTTCCATGTTACACAGGTAACAAGTGCTGTAAACTGTGCCAGGAGAGGTTGGTTCAATGTAGAGACGGACATCATAGCTTGTGAGGCATGTCTCCTCTTTTCTACTCCCTGGACACAGGAGCAAGGTATGGTGATACTGTTAGCTATTGCAAGCAGTATGACATCTGGAAAATGTACATCAAATATGGCTTGTCTGTTTACTTAATATTGAACTTATCATTTGTTCTTCCAGTTGAAAAGGCTGCTGCAGTATTCAGCTTAAAGTTGGATAATGGACACAAACTACTTTGCTTGTGGATTGGCAATGCCCGTAATGAGACACTAGTACAGTTTCCACTAAACCTGCTCCAGCTTTGGTTGATGGGTACAGGAAACATTCTCATGCACTTTTGGGACTTTTAGCCCTTCATGTGGTTTCATATTCAGCTATTGGTTACATGAGGAACCCACAGTTGGAACACTTTCTGGAACAATATCCTATGTTAAGGGAATTGATGAGGAAATTTTGTTTTTTACCTACTTATACAATAGATCTTCTTTGTGACTGATCATAGCGCTTCTGACTAGGGCTTCCCCTCCTTTGTGTGTGCTTTTTTGAGATGGATGGTAAAATAGATTTCTATTTGTCACTTAGACTGAAGTAGATGATCTTCTTTTTTCATGTGAGTCACTATTTTCTTCATACTATTTGTTTGTTGTTAGCATTTTCTATGATACAAGTAGTAATGTCTTCCACTTCATAGTTCATATTGATTTGTTTTTCAGTAGTTCTCAATAGACATACACAAGTACACAACCCTGTTTTGAATTACTGAGTTTTAAATTCTTACCATCTTTTTTGATAGTAAATAGAAATTTTATTGAAATAAAAAGAAAACAAAATCTCAGATGATGAGAAATCACTGATACAAACTGAAGTAAAAGAAGCATCTCCTACCACATCCCATCAGCACTGCAACTCAAAACAACAATCTTCTACTTAATTATCAACAAAATACCACAGAACTCTTACCCATACAAAATAACAAACCATTCCACAAGCCAAACATTCCACTCCATCTAAAAATCACCCTAACAGCCCAACCTACCCGATACGATCTTGGACCCTATGCATAACACCTCTGGAAAACCTGCACCCTCTCTACCCTCAACAACAATATTCTACTCTCCCCTTACCATCAATTAAAATAACCTTTAAATTCATATAATCTGGAGAAATTTCTAAGTTCTTATTTCAATAAAAGTGTCACGTGTATGTCCTTGACAATTTTCAATGTTATCCATTTACCATGGGCATTTGTGTTCATATTCTTGCATAAAACTTTCTTTGTTTTCTATTGCCTTTTTTTCTTTGAGTTGAAAATGGACTTGTGTTCATAGTCATATATATTCTTACACGACTGTTTTGTGTTATGTTCTTTACCTTCCCAAACAAAAATCTTTTACAAAAAAGGACATGAGTAATGCATGTCACTGATAGTATTATCATGAAATCCATTTATCACCTTCCTCAACTAGGAAGTTTCTGATTTTTTTGGAACTGAATCTTCTTTTTATTGCTTGAGCTGAGACCTGCATTATTTTGCAGGCTCAAAAGCTCATCAGTTTATGTGGATGGGAACCTCGATCACTATCACTACCTTACATGGTTGAATGCAAGGATCTATCAACTCAATCTGCAAAAGATTTGGAGTCTTCTTACAAAATGCTAATAGACATAGTTCTAGGCTTCTAGCATTAATGTCTACCCACGATCAGGTCTTGATGAGGTTGCTGATGTGGTTAATAATTCCCCAACTATTGGTGGACATCCTTCTGATCCAGACTCTGTTGTTCTAAATTGTGGGCTTTGTGGGCCACTGTTGGACTATGGCTTTTGCTATGGTTCCACAGCCTTTGGAATTATTGAAATTAGTTCGATGTTCAGAAGTCATATGCCGAAATTATTCAAGTAATTATGATGAAAATGCAATTAGTTATGTTATGGGGACTCCAACAACCCATCAAAGGAAAGATCAGTCAGTAACCTTAAATTTGGCAATTGCAGGAGGTCCCCCCACCAATAAAACAGAACTTCAGAGCAACTGTTTTTTTGCCCATTATTCACCTGGCATTTAAGGGCTGAATTCTCTCCTAGTTGTGATGTTAGACATCATGCTTTATCTAAATTGTCATGCACAAATGAAGAAAATGTTCAATTCAATTCATAGAGAAATAATGTCACAGCAAGAAATAAGTGACATTGACATTGACATGCTCACTGGACATAATACTCAGCCAAAATTTTTGGAGACATCAAAAGACAAAAGAAATGACAATAGGAATCACCTTTCAAGCGGTGGCATTCAATTATCATGTTTGAATCAGGAGTCCAATGAAGTTGGGGTTGCACCTGCCGATGAGAATAATCATGACATATCTCTGGAAGATGCTATTGGGGAAGTACTTCCTTCTGTGCAAGAAATTAGTCCATCCAAGGATTCCAGGATGGGCGATGCAATTGAGAACATACAAAATTTACCACCTGATGGAGATAGACATGTTGTCTTGCCCAGGGATGCTGAAGATGTGGGAATAATCAATTCAGAAAGAATGGTTAGCATTAGCTCTGAAGTTAGAGTATCCATTACAACTTCAGATGCTAATGGTACGGCCGAAACAAAGAAATTAAAAAGAATAACTCATTGATGATGATTGCAGCTGAGGAGGAAAATGAAGTTTTGAGCCACGGTTTTGGCAAGTCAAGCTGTTCTCATTCTCTTGTCATCACATTTCATGAATTTGAAAATGCTTCCATTCTCTTTGTTATGTTGTGAATTCATGCTTTTTTAAATCTTAACTTGTGACATTTTCTATGCATCATCTGTAAGCCAATAGAGATAAGGATAGCCTAAGAGTCTCGAAGCGGATCAGAAAATGCTTTAATAGCCAGAGAAATAGGTTACAGAAAGGGTGTTGAAAGGAGGGAGGAGGAGCTTCAAGCTGCAGGAGAGGAGGTTAAGTCGATCCTGATAAAAGAAGATCTAGAGGTCAGGACGGTGTCAGGGGATGAGGAGGAGGAAGGAAGCCAAGCCGATGAGAATAGTCTCATTTTGTCTCAACAAGCTGATAAAAAAAGGAGGGGGACAAAGTGGAGCTTATGAGTTTGGCGGATAGGGAAGTTAGTATTGGAAACAATTTAGGTCTTTTCTTTTGGGGAGGTGCAGAGTTTGCTAGAAGAGCTTTCAAAGTCTTTGAAAAGAAGAAAAGGGAAGAGAGAGCAAAAGAAACTACGACGGAAGCATGATTTAATTTGGGACGAGGACGATGATGAATTTGACGAGGCGTTTGATCCTGAAGACTAGACAATGTATGTGTTTGGTTCCATGGGCATTTATGGATAGGCTGTTTATACGTACTTTTTCACTTTAAACATTTATTTGTACTTTTCCACTTTAAACGTTTCCCGTTTTTGTTGTTTGGTTGGGCTTCACTTTAAACGTTTTTTACTCTCCACCTCAGATTAATACCCATTAAAGTGTGCCACATCAGCATTTAGTTTCAAGAAACGCTGGGGTGTTGGGGGAAACAAGAATTTGACGTTTCCCCAAATACCCCATGCACAAAAATCAAAGCGTTTCAGTTTTCTACCATTTATTTGATAGACGGTGAAACCAAACAGTTGTTTCTTTTTGCTTCATATGCAATAAACACCAACGCCTATGTGGCGCTGATTTGGCGGCGTTTTTTCAATAAACGCCACGGAACCAAAAACAACCAATGTGTAAAGGGGTGTCCCCTGTTTTCTTTTGTTAGTTTTTGTGTCTTCTAATCTCTTGTTGCGGTATTTGGTTTGGGTGTATTCTTAACACCCCTGTTTGGGCTGTATCTTGTTTTCTTTTCTACCTATAATTTTTTTTTTCATTTTATTCTTCAGAAAAGAAAGGTTACAGAAAGGTTTGGGAAAATAGCTAAGTCTGGAAGAGGTTGGAGAACTGATGGGTTGCAGGGATTGAACTCAAAAGGAATCAGAAAGAATGTGTAAGTCCTAGGGATGGCAATTTTCCCCATCCCCAACGGGGACCCGACTTTCCCAACCCGATGGGGTTGGGGATGGGGATTGAGGTCCCCGCTCTGCCCCAACCCCGATTATATATATATATATATTAAAACATTATTTATAATTTATGTTTTTTTTAAGTAAATTTATTTTTCAAAAAAATATTATTATCTAAAAAATTTCGGGGATTTGGGTCCCTACGGGAGCTTGTCCCCGTCAGGAATCGGGGATGGAGGACAAATTTTATCCCACACGAACAGGGATGGGGATGAAGGTTAATTTTAGAATCGGGGTCGGGGACAGGGAATATGATCACTGCCCCGTTGCAATTCCTAGTAAGTCCCCCAATGCTTGGCTTGCTTACCTATTTATAGAATCTACAAGACAAGCTTCGTGCATGGCGGTGCAAGGGTTGGGATATTCTTAGCCTCAACTGTAACCGTCGGGAAAAACAGATCCCATCTTTTTTACATGTCCCTGTGGACCACATGATTATTAGAGTACTTTTGCCTTAGATAGCAATCACGCATCTGACACCTTCGGAGAGGCTCTCCAGTACAAAAGCTTTGTCTTGGCCTCGTGAGATCGAATGTCTTCACGAGATCAACAAGTTGTCTAGCTACCTTGCACTAGGTTGACGAGGTCCTGCCTTCAGTGCCTTGCGAAGTGCTTCTTTGGAACTGGGGAGGTCCAATCCCACTCAGCCTCGTGAGGTTTATTCATGAGCATGGAGCAAGGTTAGTCCAGTGAGGTAGTTTTCACCCTGTTTGTGAGTTCTCTTTTTGTGATGTCCCTGCAGTGCGATTAGTATTGCTTGTGCGCCAGCCTCGTTACAGAATTGGCCACCACTTGCACTAAGCCTGCAGTATGGCTGACCTCGCATATGTGTTTTTGGCTGCAAATTTACGTCTTTGCCCTATATATAACAGAAGCTGTGCACTTCTGTTTTTTGATTCATCACCATAAATCACTTGTCATCATTTCTTGGATCTTTGAATATATTGAACATTTTCAGTTTATCACCATAATCACAACTTGCCTTTCTTGGACAAACGAATGTATTGCTTATTTGTTTTTGCTGAATTACATCCTGGCAAGTTTATGATATCAAATAGCATTGCTTTGAGTTTAGCAATCTAGCAAGGTCTGAGTATTAAATAGAATTTGGTTCGAGGGGGCCTTCTTTTATCATCATAATCTTCTTTGGCATTGAATTAATGCATTGTTCTGGGTAAAATTTTATATTTGAATGTGTATTTTTCCCTTACAAATATTTCTTAGCAACTTGATTCTATTTAATAGCATTGTCTTGTGTTCAGCAATCTAGCACTGCATGCATGAACAATGGGTTTTGATAAGGGACTAACTCTTTTCTTAGCAATCAACTAATCATTAGAAGGGAAAACCCAACCATGAGGGGTATTAGAAACTGTGCATATGAAGGGATTCATCAGGGGAAAAAACAAAAACAAAATGTCAGAGGGAAAAACAGAGATTTGGCAGGCAGGCGTTATTTATGCTTTGCTGGTGGGAAGGATGTTTTTTATTTATGCTTTTGTTGTTGTTTCTCAAAGTTCATTTGGGACTATTTCTTCAGCCTCTTCAAACTGGATATATGGATCCCAAGATTGCCAAAAGAAGTTTTTATGGCTGGTTTTGCATGGGAGCAGGAAAGCAAAAATTACTTGGAGCCATATTCCTTTCGTGACTTGTTGGGAGATTTGGAAAGAGCAAAATGGGAGGATCTTTGAAGGCCAATCAAAGAGCAAGAATCAGTTTAAAAGAATTGTTGACTGAATTTTAATCTTTCCAGAGTTTGCAGGCGTTGATAAAGTGTCCTTTGGGAAGTTCTGGAAATGTATTAAAGGATGTTTATGTTAGAAGGTTTCCTTGTATTGTATATTCATTTTGTGTTCTGGATTTGGGTGATCTCTCATTACCAGTTGTATTCCTTTTTACCAGTTAATCAATTTTTTTTATTTATTTAATACCCAAAAAAAGGAATGCCAGAATTTTTTTTTTTTGGAAAAAGGTAATGTAATATTTATTCAAAGACAACACATACAAGCTGTGATCAGATCCAGAAAGGCAGACTGATCGACACAGCAATTACATACTCCACCAAGAACTAGAACGAAAAACAACAGACAAATTACAATTTCTAAACTCCTCAGAAACTGACACCCAAGAGATTAACTTGCCCATAGCTTTCTGAATTAAATCTTCTGGACTTAAGGCCTTATTATAGAAAAGCCTACTATTCCTTTCAGACCAAATGGACCATAAGACAGTGCTAGGAATAGTCTTCCACACTAACTTCTTTTTCTTGTTAAGACCTTTGATGTTCAGAAGCTCTTTAACCGATCTTGGCAAGTTCATGGAGCTGAAAAAGTGATTCCACAACTGAAAAAGTTCATGGAGCTGAAAAAGCTCTTTAACCGGGCAGTGTATGCACAGATGGTCAGTAGATTCAGAATTGTTCCCACACAGGCTGCACGAAAGGTCCAAAATTTGAATGCCTCTTCTCACAAGATTAGCTCTAGACAGACATTTATTCAGAACCATAGTCCAGATCAGAAAGTTAGATTTAGATGGGCTAATAGGATTCCACACCTGAGAACATGGGAAATCAGTGGCACCCTTTCTACAAAGTTTGGAAGCCAATGAATTGACAGAGAAAAGGCCATCTAGATTCCACTTCCCGTACCACTTATCTTCCGAGCAGAAATCGACCTTTTGATTCTGAAGAATAGTCAACATATTCATTATCTCTTCAAGCTCCTAGTCAAAAAGATTCCTTCTAAAAGTAGGGGACCAAATAACTGAATCTCCAGACAAGCTGCAACACTCAGCAATAGAAGCCTCTTGGTTAGATGCACACTGAAAAAGGAGAGGAAAAGACTCAGCAAGAGAACCATCGAAGCACCAAGGATCCTTCCAAAACTTGGTTCTACTACCATTGCCGACCTTAATTGAGATCCCATCAGCAAGAACAGAGAAGTTCTTCATTATCCCTTTCCACAGTGAGTTTCCCCAATTGGGAGGAGGATCCCTAGTTCTCCGGTTGCCCCACTCCACCCCATATTTAACAGCAATGAGGGATCTCCACCAAGCATCATTTTCACTCGCAAACCTCCAAATCCACTTACAAAGAAGGGCAGAATTAAAAGTTTTCAACTTTCTTGTGCCTAAACCACCTTCATCCTTAGGGAGACAAACTTGATCCCAACTAACAAGATGGATTTTTTTCTCCTTCTCCCAACCCCTCCAGAGAAAATTCCTTTGAAGTTTTTCAAGCCTTCTTGCAACTTTATTTGGGATAGAGAAAAGGGAGAGAAAATAGGTAGGTAAATTGGATAATGTGCTCTTAATCAAAGTCACCTACCCCCAAAAGAAAGATATTTTGCCTTCCAAGATGCCAATTTTCTCTCAATTCTTTCAATAACCGGGTCCCAAATTGAAGACAGCCCATAACTTGCCCCCAGAGGAAGACCCAAATATTTAACTAGAAGGGAATCAATCTGACAAGACAAAATCTCCGCACAATCAACTAAGTTGGAAACCTGACCCACTGGAATGATTTGACTTTTATTTCAATTGACTTTAAGACCAGAGACCACCTCAAACTATGTTAAGATCCCAAGAACAAGGTCCACTTGAGAGGGAGAAGCATCCACAAAACATAATGTATCATCTGCAAATTGGAGAATGTTAACCTTCTCCCCCTCCGGAGCAATTGCAAAACCTTCCCACTCACCAGATTCAGCAGCCTTCTTACAAAATAGAGTAAGAATCTCCATTACATAGATAAAGAGTAATGGAGACAGGGGATCACCCTGTTTAAGACCCCTGGAACTATCAAAGAAGCCTGCAGACTGCCCATTTATCGAAACAGAAAATTTGGGAGAGGTGATACATACTATAATCCAGTTCCTCCATTTCTGCCCAAAATTCATGTGCTGCCAGAATTTATATTGAAGAAAGATGACACTCTATAGAGAGAATGGCAACTAATGTTTTGGGAGCTAATATTCAAAGCTTGGAAATCATCTATATCTTACAAAATCAAAGTTAATTTTGATTGTTGCAGCCTTGTTAACTTAGGCAATTCTGGTATTGGAGAGATATTCAGAAATTCAGCAGGTATAACCCTTACAACCTATGCTGGCTCAAATGGAAATGGTAACTCTAACTGTGCTGAATGACTTCTGCTTTTTTACCAAAACAAAAAAAAGATCCATGGCTATATACCCATAGCATGTGGGAAGTAAATCACTTGGCGTCCAGATTGATTATTTCAAAAGGAGCTACTAGGGTTGTCTCTTTATTGAGGGTCTGACTTGGGAGGCAGACTGTTGTTCTAGAGTCACTATTATTTTCTTGTATGTGCTTTCAACCTGCTATTTGATTTCAGTTAAGCATGTCAATTTTCTTTAAAAAGAAACAAAATTTCCTATCTCTTATCAATAAAAAAATAGCTTTCTACTTCTGTACTTTATATGATGCTCTTGTCAGTTTTCAGCAAGCTTGTTTCTGAAAAGTAGAAGGGGACACTTAGGGGAGGTTTGGTTCGCTATAGATAAGTAACTTTTCTACTGATATCAATTGATCATCAGTAGAAAATTACAAAAAAGTATGTTTAATTCCCTTATCTAAAAGACCTTTCATAAGTAAATTTAAGAAATTGGGCTAAGTGGAAGAAACTTCATAACTGACAATAGGCAACTTATGTGATAAGTTTACATAAACCTAGCAACAAACTAAATACTACCTTTGAAAGTGCCATTCCACCTGTGGAAGCAACTCTGGAGAAAAAAGCCTGCCTAGCTCCATTCATGGAGCCCTTTCCTTTTCTTATCTTATTTTTTATTTGTTTTCAAATTTGAATATTCCATGGCATAATCCTCTCCCTTCTGGTTGTTATTGACACACACTGCATACTCTGTGTCTTGTACATGTTTTTGGGTAGTTGCAGCATACATAATCCTCTCCCATGAGATGCTGGATTTCATAATCTTGTGCTTGTTTCTGGTGATTGATGTTTCTATGGAGGTATTCTCGTTGCTGGTTGCCATGAGATAATATTTTTTTTCTAGTTTATATAAGAATATTAGCCAATTGCAGGGAATGATCTAAAAAAGGAGCAACTAGACCAACACATGAAGTTTGATCACAAGCATTTTTGCCATTGGATTGCCTCATCAGGCAATGTAATGCCAGTATGGCAACAACCACTTTCTGCTTTAGATCGCACAAATCCTTTACTTGCAGATTTTCCATCTTTGGCCATGTCTGAGGTATATCGTGTGGATGGATATAATTGTTGTGAATCCGCTGGAATAATTTAATAACTGTCAATTCAAGTAGGTTCTCATGTATGCACTTGAACAGGTGGATGATCCCATTACTTCTGACCAAAAGCTTTTCATGTCTCCCTCCAATGAAAAGGATGAAGGCCAATCTTGGGTCAAACTAATAGATCATTGAGCACCAGGAGTTGAGTTTTTGGAATTGGGAGAGAAATGGACAAATGAATAAATGGAATCTTCAAAGTGGAACAGTGCATTCCTAGAGTTGAACCACCTTGTTGGTATGTAGTAGAGAAAAACATGATTTTTTTATGCTCCTTCAATATCCAGCCTAAATATTATAGCTGTTAGCGCTATGTTTGAGAATTAAAAGTTGGATAACCAGAACTTTGGATTATGGAATGCTCAATGCTGATTCTCTGGCTATTATAGAAATGCACTTCCTTTCCCTTGAGATACTAAACAATGGTCTGTACTCTGAACATTTGTACTAGGTTTACTTGAGAGATTAACCAGAACCAGATTGCACGAGAAAATCAATTCAATATCATTGGATGATACATTTAACTTTTCTCTCTTTCTGTCAACAAAATTGGGATAGAAAAAATAGATGTAAAAAGTGTAGCATGCTGGCATGCTAATCCAGTAATCCACAGTTAGTGACAATCACCTTGGAATAAGGACGATTGAAACCTCTCTCTGCTACAACAGCCCTCTTGTCTCCAATCAATTTTGCCACCCTTTGTACCACACAAGAAGACATTCCATAAACTTGTTAGTCTTCAGTCAAAATGGAAGTGTGAAAATAAAAACGATCGAATTCATAAGACTTGATGGCTAGCTTACCTGAAATAAGGAGAGCTTGTATTCTCTTTGACAGTCTTCACTTGAGCAATCCTTTCAACTACGTCCATCCCACTCAAGACTCTTCCAACAACCAACGAAGAGGCATCCAGCTCCGGAGAGTCTCTTGTGGCAATTACAAACTCTGTTCCATTGGGGGCCGTTCCCACCTCCTCCTCGTCGATCTCCAGCTTTCCTTTTCGTGCTACAAGCTTCAACTTTGGAGGCTGCTGCAATGGGTCCCTCACAATTATGCCTACTGACCCTACCAAATTCTTGGTTCCCGAGCATATCTCATTCACTCTGTTCCATTCCGCTAGGAGATTATCAGCGTCCAGATTTCTACCCGTCTCCTTTGCAAGATCAGCGTCCACACCATATGATCTCACTCCTCCGTGCTGCACATAATTTGGCATTATTCTAATGAATTCCTTCCTTCTGTAACTGATGCCCGCTGCTCCACTTACAAGTTTGGAGAACCTGGTAGTACCGTTAGGAACATCTTCGTCGTAAAGGCCGACAATAATGCGGCCTACTGGTTCCCCATCAATGGAGATATCAAGGAAGGCCTTCTTTGTCGGAGTTTTGTCTGTGCAGACATTTGCCTTGGGGTTCTCTTCATGTTGGTCACCTTCAGCTCTTGCCTTGGAGAGCTGGAATGGCTCAATTATGTGGGTGCCTAAGAGAAGTGAGAAAGAGCTGCCTCGAATGGTAAGCTCCCGGCGTGAGAGCTTGCTGTTGTGTTTGAGAATTGGAGGGCAAGGGCAATGGGATGTAGGTGTGAGATGGTGGATGGGATTGGTTTGTATTTGTGAAGGAGATGCAGGTACTGATGGTGGTGCAGGGAGTTGAGGGAGTTGGGCCGAGGATGAATGCAAGGTTTGTAGGTTGTTCCACATTTAGAAGAGTTTGTTTGGTGCAGCAATCCCGGTGACACAAGTCAGGCAAACTCGTGAAACGATCAGTTGAGAGAGACTAGCGAGTGCATTCATAAAACATAACTGTTGAGACTTGAGAGAGAGAGAGGACATGGTTCTGGATAAGAATAAGATAGCTTCTCGGTTCTCCACCGCATTTGCTGATTCGTTCTTCTAATTCTCAGAATATAGAATCCAACTCTTCGTGTTCAGCACGGGACAAAATATCTGTTTAATGAACAATTGGATTTTATAACTATTAACCTTTAGAAAAAATTACAAAAAATCGGGGTTGCTAGCTGAACATCACCGACCAGAGAGCTGCCTAGTAGCAGTAAATGTGTGTTGAATAGTTCAGACGGTTCACCGTTCACCTGGTGAAATTATCAAATCAAAATCATAGAAAACCCGGTCAGTTCTCTGATCAATTTAGTATTGGGCCGATAAGGGATTGAAAACAGTGGTGCGAAGCCAACTTTAGAGGCCCGGATAGTTTGTGCTTACACCATTAAGACTTTGAACCCATGGCCCAGCTGCTTCAGTAAGGTTGAACTCCAATTCTGCTCAATTATTATTTTGTTTTTGATAGATTGAAAAGCAAGGTTTTTAAAATTGAATCGGACAATGAACTAGTCAGGGTCTGATTTTCCAAAAATCGAACGAATGGCCCATTCTGACAAAAAAAATTAAAAAATAAAAACCAGCCAAACTGTTAAAACGGTTTGATCACCCGAGTCAGTGGTTTGCTGACCAGATCAATGGTTTTTGGGAAAATAATGGTTCTGAGGTAAAACGAACCGGTTCCGATTTTTTCAATACGACCGCCCGGTCCAGTCTGGTTTTGAAAACCACGTTGAAAAGTTTATATAGTTCATTTTTAATATTTGCTGAATGTTAAACTAAATTTTTAATCAGTTCACATGTTATTTGTTTTTCATTGGTTCATGTTTTACAGGTGTAGTTATCACTAAAGATTTTAACAATGTTAAAAATTCAATTGTAACATGTTTTATCACCTGCTCGAAAGTGGAATTCATGCTCCATAAATTTTGCCAAAATTTTAACTACAAACCCAAAGAGAATAATCTTGGAGTCTAAGGCTCATAAATTGGCATTCATAAAGTGTTTGAAACACTGCACCAAAAGCCCCCAACCCCCANCAACCCCCCACCCCCAAATAAAATAACAAACAAACAAAAAAAAAGCAAACTTGAACAACTGTTCATGGCCGACCCAGCCCAGCCCAATCTAAGTCGGGCTTGGACAAGATTTCAGGCCCACGAGCTTGGGCTTGGATTTAAAATATTGAGCCAGGCTTAAAAAACCCGGCCCAAGCCCGAACCCAATTTGATAACATATTATATAATAAAAAATATAAATATAATATATATTTTTCTTTATTTTTCTTCTCTTTTTTCAAGTAATAACAAAATCTTTCATTATTTTTTAGGTTTTGAGGTCTTTTAATATAAATAAAATAATTTTTAATTGAATAAAAAGGAAAACAAATCCTTTTCTTTTAAAATGTCAGACCAAACTCAGGCTCACGCTCGGGCCTGAACATATTCTGTTAATGTAGAGACAAAACCCGGCCTGACCCAGCCTGTGAACAGGTCTCCTACACCTTAAAGCAAGAAACTTGAACCAATGATAAAACAATGCAGCATAATTAAATGTCAGCCCAAAAGCCAATCAAGGTTTTCAAACCATCCTCGACCTGGATAGTGGGACCTTTCAGCCCAATAACCGATCAAGGTATCGGTTCTGTTTCACCCCTGAACCACTATTTTCACCAAAACCCTTGAATTGATTAATGACCCACTGGTCCAGGCGGTCGAACCAGTGACTAGTTCAATACCTGTCTTGGAGCAAAATTTTATTTTAATTATTTTCTCTTAAAAATTAAAATGTCATGGAACGATCTGTTCAGACCGGATGATTGAAAATTGGTGGCCGAGGCAATTCCAATTTTGGGTCGGCTTTTAAAACATTGGATAAATAACATGTGACATCTTTAACCTGATTGATCGAAATTTTGATTTGACGTGCAGTAAATATTCAAAATACACTATAATCGAATTTTGGTTAATAAACTAAAAATAGATAAAAATCAACAAATGCAATTAATATCAGGCACTGGTAGGAGCCGTTTACTTGCTCCTTAATTATGACGAATGCTTTTTAGACCCTTGCTACACAACATTTTAAGCTGCTTCTCACCTTGAATCTTGTCTCAAAGAAAACAACAGTGGAAGCAGAGAAAGTATCAAGTAATGTTGCAGAAAACCAAAATGTCAATCTAGAGTTTCAGAATCTAACCTACTCTAATACAACAAAACTTTGGGCGTCTTGTCTCATCTTTTACATAAATCAAATATAGAATGTAATTGAACTCCATATTCATGTTGTTTGTCAGTGGATTACGGGCTTGAGGGGATGTGCTCTCAGTTTCGATAGATCTAGACTTGCATCAAGCTCTTCGTCTAGTTCCCCCACGATACTTCTATTACAAGTCAAAGAGAGGGAACATGCACGAATACGTAAGATAATGCATGGTTAACAAATATCCAAACCATCAAAAAATGACCATTAAGAAGTCTTACATGTTATCACCCCTTATGATGTATAAGCCCAATACAAGTTGCTGAACGCCCTCCTGCAAAATGGGATAAAATACGAATTTGAGCTAGTAAAGAACAATTCTGAACTCAAAGACAATCTGAAAGAAAAATGGAGAAAGATAACTATGCATTGTCTTCTTAATTTGGTAATTCATGTAAAGTGCCATAATAAGTGCAAACAAAAAAGGCAGAATTAACATATTTTGTACACTAACAGCCACCTCAAGCAATGTTGTTAAGACTCGGACTGGTCAACCTGGGAACCAGAAGGCATTCTGGTTTTTAAAAGTCCCAGTTCTCATTTTTTTTCTGAGAAACTGGTGGTACCTGTCAAAACCCAACAGAACTGTTGAAACCTAGTCAGGTTAGAACAATCCAACCGGTTTTCCACAACCGGCCCCGGATCATAAAATGGCTAGAAACTTTAAAATGAGTATAAGAATATTTGAACTTGAAACCTCTTAGATGCATTTGTTAGCTTTCTACCATTAACCCATTATGTCCCTTGTGGTTATTTATTTTTCTTTTAATGGATACATATTGATCAAACACGTATAAATTCTGAATAAAATGCAAGTTGTAAGACTTGATCCAACAGTCAAACCATGCCACCGGCAGCAAGCATTCCAGATTTTTGTCTGGTCCAAGTCTTAAAACACTAACCTCAAGGTCCCATCATTTAGTTATTTTGTAAAATAAAAGATGGCAACAGCACTTAAGATCTGTCAACTTGGATTCCCATACTCTCAGCACATTAGAGCAAGAAATAGCCAAGTTAATAAGTTTTAAATCATGTTGCGGGTGAGAAATCACTTTTCTTATTCTGAAAAACTACTTAATAAAGATTCAAGTTGTGTTTCAGATGATGGTGACAGGTTATGAGGACATTTTCTTAGTCATTCTGCATAATATATTGGTAGGCCTTAACAAGAAACAACAAAATGCCTTCTTGCAAAAATAATAGATAAAGAAGGCACCAAAAAACATCATTCAAGGTATTCATAAGGATAAAAGTTAAATCAAGGACAAGTGTACAAACCGTTGTGGAGTAAACCCGTTCATGAGATTCGTCAAGGATAATATTTGTAGCTTGATCAAAACCTTTTAACACTCCCTGAGTGAAAGGACAAAAAAAAAACAAAAACAAAAACAAAAGATCAATACGAATGTAACATTTCCAGTACATAATTCACCACTTTCTGGTGATTGTATCCTAAAACTTACCACTATATTGCGCCCATCATTTGTTATAACTGATATTTGTTCTGCATAAAGGAACACCAAGGTGAATAAATGGTGCGACTAGTAGATTTTACCAGCAATAAAAAAATTCCTTAAATTAGCTTTTTTGGTAATACTAAAATAGGTATTAGATATGGCTCAAGCCAGTCATGATGGTCAAAACACAAACAGGGTTCAGAGAGATGGCAGGAGCAATAGTTTAGGAGATGGTTATACAAGTTCTGGTGAAGTCTACAGTTTATGACAATTGAGATTGTTTTCAAATATCATGATGTTGGAAGGAGGGAGAATTTCGTCAAACAAAGCCCCAATATCACCAGTGCAGGACTTGAATAAAAAGCAAATAATTACAAATGTAAAGCAGGGTTTAAACGAGAAACTATAGATATTGAAGGAAAGTGACTGACCAAAGGATGGAAGTGGGATGATTTGAGAGGGGACTTTCTGTTTGGAGTGGTACAAGTGTATAACTAAGGTTTTGAAGAGTTATAACTATAGATGACAGTTTTTCATGGCTAAAAACCCCAATTAGAAAAGATGAAGTTGATATAAACATAGAAATAGATTGAATTATTTCTTTTCAGAGTTAATGATAAAAAAAGATTGAATTATTGTAATCTACTGAAGAGAGAGCGTGAGAGAGAGAGAGAGAGAGGTGAACATAGGTGGTTACTTGGTTAGGTTTAGCTTCAAGTTCTAGGCTATCTATATAGATGAGCTCATCTTGTAGATGCTAAGTAGCCTCAATGGGATGACAGAGAGTCCGTGGCCCATCCTTTGCTGATCGCATCAACTTGATTATTTCTTAAACAGTCACCTTCCACTAGCACATTGTTCTCCCCACCCTAAAAATCCCTTTTCATATCATCTTTTAGTTGACCAAGAACTTCCACTAGTAATAAGAAAAGGATGGAGAAAAAGGGTGTCACCCTGCCTGAACACTCTTTCGTAGGGAGATGCTCCTTTTTCTCATCAGCTTCCCATATTCTTCACATTGTTAGATTCAAACTCTTAGATTGCTTCTTGTGTCCCTAACACCTTGTTTTCCTTCTCTTGTAAATTGGGTAATTAGATTTTAGAAGAGGTTTAAGGGATCATGAAGCAAAGGAAGTGGTTGGATTGCAAGGAGTTTTCCACCTTGACGGAGGTTCTAATAAAAACCTGAGCTGTTGAGTGGGTCCTTTTTCTTGTGCTTTCTATCCTTGAAGTCATGTTCCCTCTTTCACATATTCAGGTGTTTCCATCCAAGGCAATTTGGTTGGGTACCACACCCAAAATCAAGATTATTTTTTGATAGGAAGTGTTTCTCTTAAAAATAAATATACCTACAGACGCTTCAGAGAAGACAACCCTTGTGGTCCTTGACACCTTGTCTACCCTAGATGTATCCTCTTCAAGACAAATGGTGAAACCATTTACCACTTGCTAATCTCCGGCTCCACAACCACTATAATTTGGGAGTACTGACTATTTGGTGTTAGGTGGACACCTGTTGGATATGGAAAGTCCATCCAAGTTCCCCCTGCCACTGCCACCGAAAGAGAGAGGTAACATACTATGGAGGTGCCTCAGAGACACTGCCTTTTGAATTATATGGGAAGAAAGGAACACCAAAACTTTGAAGAAATACACTCTATAGAGAATGGTTGATTTGATCATAGTAAGAGTTTCATTGGATACAAACAAGGGAAGCATTCACCCCTTTTACTGCTGATGACATCATGAGAGGATGTCAAGTAATATCTTTGTCTTCCATATCAAGAGCTATCATTCAAGAAGTTTAGAAACTATCAGCATCTTACAAAATCAAACTTAATTGTGGTTCCGTCCTTGCTAACCCGGCAAATTCTGGTATTGGAATTATATTATAAACTCAGCAGTAAGCAGCTGAAATTCTTACAGGACTGGCACGAGTGGAATTTGTTATCTCTAACTATCTTGAATTGCATTCTGTTTTACAAGGTATGGGATTAACTGTCTTTGGATTACGTAGAGTTCGAAGTGGAAGGGGATTCAAAAGTTGTAATTGGGTAGCTAAATGTTGATGAGTCATTTCCTTGGTTTTACACCCTTGATGTCCAGATTGAAAATTTTATGTTATACCCTTAGAATCCAGAAGTGGCTAGTAGACTTATATTGGGGGCTGACTTGGGTGGCAGAGTGCTTTACTAGAGCCACTATTATTATGTTTTCTTGTATGTAATTTTGACCTGCTATCTGATTTCAACAAAGCATGCCAGTTTTCTTTAAATTGCAAAAAAATTCCTGAACTATTACCAAAAGAAAGACCATCTAACTGATCCATTTACTCCCAAAAGCCACCTTAGATGAATGCCCCAATTCACATGGTCAAATCCCCTTCTTTTCAGCTTTAATATCATTGCTGCCTTACTTGCAACCAAAATTTATTCTAAGTGTTTGCTGAAAGGTTATAGCTGAAGTAGTAGAAGAGAGGTGAAGGCAAACAAGTGTTGAGAATGTCGAACTGAGTAACCCAGTCGACAGTACTATTATTTATAGTAGATTACAATACAGTGTTACATGAAATGTCTGGAATGCCCCTGATTAGTGATGGGACACCCAGACTGCTTTAAACACTAAACAAACTTAGGCCCAATAACAAAGGCCCAGTACCTAAAAGCTTAAAACCCAATACTAACTAACATGTACACTTATCAGCCGAACCAACAATACATAAAAACAGTCAACTTAACACTCCCCCTCAAGCTAAGCATGGATGTCAGTCATGTTTAGCTTGCCAAGAAGGTCCAAGAATTTTGTTGCAGCCAACCCTTTAGTCAGCACATYTGCAATCTGCATCTCGGATGGAGTATAAGGAATGCAGAGTTCTCCCGAGACTATTCTCTCTCAAACAAAATGTCAATCAATCTCAATATGTTTCGTCCTGTCATGTTGCACTGGGTTATTTGCAATGTTGATGGCAGCCTTGTTGTCACAGTACAGCCTGAGAGGACCCTCAGCTTTTATGCCAAGCTCACCAAGAAGGGTCCTAAGCCACAGAAGTTCAGCAACACCATGAGCCATAGCTCGATATTCAGCCTCCGCACTTGATCTAGCAACCACATTCTGCTTCTTACTCCGCCATGTGACCAGGTTCCCCCCAACAAATGTACAATATCCTGAAGTTGATTTTCTGTCCCCAGCAGAACCGGCCCAATCTGCATCAATATAAGCTTCAATTTCAATTTTATTGTGTTTTCTGAACAGAATTCCCTTTCCTGGGCAAGTCTTCAAGTACCTGGGAATCCTTTCAACTGCTCTCATATGAGGGATCTTTGGAGAGTGCATGAACTGACTGACAACATGCACAGCTTAAGCAATATCTGGTCGGGTGAGAGATAGATATATCAGCTTCCCTATCAATTTTTGGTATCTCTCTTTATCATAGTAGTCCTCCCCTACTGATTCCTGTAGACCATGGTTCAGTTCTATTGGAGTATCTGCTGGTCTACACCCTACCATGTTTGTCTCTTCTAGGAGGTCAAGTACATACTTCCGCTGACATATATAGATCCCCTCTCTTGACCTAGCAACTTCAATCCCAAGAAAATATCTCAAATGACCCAAGTCTTTGATCTCAAATTCAGAAGCTAAAAACTCCTTTAGTCTTTTGATCTCTTCGAGGCCATTCCCAGTAATCACCATATCATCCACATAAACAATGAGTGTTGTAAGTTTGCTATCCTGTCTCCTTATGAACAAGGTATGGTCTGCACCACTTTGAGTGTACCCCACTTTCTTCATGGCCCCACAAAGCCTCTCAAACCATGCACGAGGAGACTACTTTAGGCCATATAATGCTTTCCTCAGTTTACACACCTTTCTATCAAAGTCGTAGCCTGGTGGAGGGTTCAAAAATACCACTTCATGACGATCACCATTTAGGAAGGCATTCTTCACATCCAGCTGATGGAGTTCCCATGAAAAATTTGTTGCTAATGACAATAAAACCCGAATTGTGTTGAGCTTTGCTACTAGAGCAAAGGTTTCTTTGTAGTCAATCCCTTCTTTTTGAGTAAACCCCTTTGCCACAAGCCGAGTCTTGTACCTTTCAATGGACCCGTCCTCCCTATGCTTTACAGTGAACACCCACTTGCACCCGACAGTGCTCTTCCCTTCTG